GGGGGCGCGACGTCATGGATGATGTCAACAAAATGCTTGAGGGTGGTGTTGGCGCCAGAGAGCTCTTGCAAGGGAAGATCCGCTACCGACATTCCTCCAGGAGCTTGGTCAGTGAAGGTTGGGAAGGGCAAAGGTTTGGATAAATGCATGCCCTGTGTGGCTTCGATGCCGGTGTTGAGAGAGGCGTTCCCATCACGTCCTGCGCAATCCATCGCGGAAAGTGTGACGCGAAGAAAGAATGGACTACACTGCTTTATGCTTTTGGATCCAAGAAAACTAGCAGACATGAACGAAATCAAAGCGCAACATCGATACTGCTTGCTGGCACACACTTCCTCCACACACTAGTGATATCCAGACCGACATTTTCTTCTTGCAATCAGCCGGGTCTAGTAGCTTATGCTTTGCACGAGCTTGGAACTGATGCAAACAATACCTGTGTCAGACTTCGGATGGTTTCTGAATCATTTAGAGGCTCATGTCTAATCATCGCAGTACAGAGATGATTGTGATGATTTCTTCCGGAAAGTGCAGAATGAAACAGTGAAAGCTATGACGAAGCTCACTTGGTGAGCTCTGGAAATTTGCTTACAATTTACAATGAATCCGGAGAATCACTTGGTGAGCTCCTCAGACGATATGGCATATTAACCTCACTTGGACAACTCGTTGAACAGTAGTACGTACTCGAGCGACGTCAGAGGGCGTTCATGGCCGTCGTCGTCGAAGGCGTAGCAATTGCACTTGGTTCGCCACACGACTGTTCCTGCATTGCTCAAGTCTTTCACAAAAAGAATTATGGACTGAAAGGTAGTAGCACTACAATAAATATTATTTGAAACATTAACTTTTAGACACCCGTTGTCCGGAAGGAAGTCTTGCGAAAATGCGGGAGGCTTCTGATGGGTGTGGCGCTCGAGGCACCGCACCCACAACTTCTGGCACATGCCCCAAAGCCAGCTTCAGGATGCAATCTGCCACATCGTGCGGCAAGCCCTTCCATATCGAAACGTCCAAAGAAGACATGGCACTCAGGATATTGATGACTGACGAAAGCCTTGAGCTTCAAATCTGCAACTGGCAGTGGTTGTCCCAATGTTTTGGAATCCTTGTGTGTCACTTTTATTGGTTTTTCCAATGTTTCCCAGTTTCAGAAGCCGAGAACATTGGAAAAACCAATAAAAACCATAAAAACCATGATTTTCAAACTGTGTCCGAGGAGGGACTATAATTTGAAAATCATGGTTTTTATTGGTTTTCCAATGTTTCCGACTTTCCGAAACCGAAAACATTGGAAAAACCAATAAAAACCATAAAAACCATGATTTTCAAACTATGTCCGGGGAGGGTCGATAATTTGAAAATCATGGTTTTTATGATTTTTATTGGTTTTTCCAATGTTTCCGACTTTCCGAAGCTGAAAACATTGGAAAAACCAATAAAAACCATAAAAACCATGATTTTCAGTCTATGTCCAGATGCGACATCACTCCCGGGCGATAGTTTCAAAATCATGGTTTTTATTGTTTTATTTGTTTTTCCAATGTTTTGAGATCCTTGTGTGACATTTTTATTGGTTTTTCCAATGTTTTGAGATCCTTGTGTGACATTTTTATTGGTTTTTCCAATGTTTTGAAATCCTTGTGTGCCAATTTTATTGGTTTTTCCAATGTTTTGAAATCCTTGTGTGACGCTTTTATTGGTTTTTCCAATGTTTTGCGATCCTTGTGTGCCAATTTTATTGGTTTTTTCAATGTTTTGAGATCCTTGTGTGCCAATTTTATTGGTTTTTCCAATGTTTTGAAATCCTTGTGTGCCAATTTTATTGGTTTTTCCAATGTTTCAGCGTTTCAGCAGCCAAAAACATTGGAAGAACCAATAAAAACCATAAACACTATGATTTTCGAATTATGTCCAGGCGCGACACCACCCAAGGGAGATAGTTTGAAAATCATGGTTTTTATGGTTTTTACTGGTTTTTCCAATGTTTTGAGCTCCTGGTATGCGATTTTATTGGTTTTTCCAATGTTTTGGACGCGGTTATAGGACTGTGTAGGAGAGCACGATTGGGACTGTTTAGTGGGAGCACGATTGGAACTGTGTAGGGGAGCACGATTGGGACTGTTTAGTGGGAGCACGATTGGGACTGTGCGGGGGAGCACGATTGGGACTGTGTGGGGGAGCACGATTGGGACTGTGTGGGGGAGCACGATTTAACCTATGCCATAATGCAAGCCACGGCCCCTCGATGCCGTAGAGCTGAATCGACGTGCTGAGGTCGGCACCTGAGCAGGAAAGCATAAAAATGGTAGGTACGTCGGGGGGGGGGCACCATATATATATATGTGTATCTATATGGTAACCCGGTACCCAGATTGTGTCCTGTTCCAGTCAGACGCCTTGTCCCCAAATTCCCCAATGTTTGCTTGTGTTCCTTGGTCGTTGCGTCTCTGGGAAAGCAAGTTTTCGTTTACTAAAGCTTCCGAGGCTTCTAAGCGTACTGTTTGCTGTATTTTTGCTCCCGAAAATTCTCCCAACTTCACAGAACGTGTTGGAAATGCTGGCAAAACCAACATTCTCCATGATTTGTCTGTTGGGAATCATGGAAAATGTTGGTTTTACCGACATTTCCAACGATTTATTTCCATGATTTCCGAAACTACGGCTCGGGCCCCCGAGGTTTTTCCAAATTCATGGAGATTGTTGGAAATGTTGGCACAAGCAACATTTTCCATGGTTTGTCTGTGTGGAATCATGGAAATTGTTGGCTTTTCAACATTTCGAATATTTCCATGATTCCCGAAACTATGGCTCCGGCTCCCGAAAGTTTCTTGAGGTTCATGGGAATGGCTGAAAATGTTGGTTTCGCCAGCATTGTCCACAGGTACATATTTCAAGACGGTGTTACCGAAATTTGCGATTGAGCAGATCTTTCGTACTCGCGCAAGGTGTTTTCAAAACAAGCCGGTAAGGTATTTGCATCCTTGATGAAACGCACTAGTTGGTCCAACACGAAGCTTGGTAATAATCTCGCTTGGCGAGGCTACTGTGGGAACACTGGTTCATGGCTTTTCTGTTTATAACGGACAAAGCTATACTTCATGTCTAAGATTCAAAACTCGATTATGGGAAAGCTATTGCTGCACGAACATACTTATACTGGCTTAATCTTTAATCACCCTCTTCTTAAGATATATGTATAAAGCATTTACTGATGTTGCTTGGTGTTTGCATGGGGGTCTTCGGTCGTTGTGTTTGTCTATTCTTTAGTGTGGCTCTGGTGCTTACAATAAAGACGAAGAGCCCTTAATCAAAATACTATCATTTGCACCAGAATTCTGACATACATCATGGTCAACTTGTCATCATTTTCGAGGTGCAGAAGTGCAAAACGATTCTGCGACCAGTAAACTGGATCTTAGCTGTATGACGCACACACTTTTGATGAACCGAACTCGGATTAAACATGTCGAATCACCTGGCGTGAAAACCTAGCAAACTCGACAAATAAACCACAACACACAACCTAGGGTGTAATACGCAGCCACGGCGTGTTTGATTACTAGACTTGGAACACTAACAACCCATTCTTAGCAGGTGAAAAACAGGCAAATGTGTCACTTGGTTAACCATCACCCTACCCAGAAGTTTTACAAGCACACGTGTACGCATTCACGAGGTGCTCTCGGTTAGGTGTATACTTAATTTAACAAAATGTATAAACACAGGACTCAGCAAGCACTACATTTACTTTACAATGCTTGGTTATTATCAAGCAAGGTTCCTGAACAATATATGAAGTACTCTGAATGAATAATCACAACGGTACCTGACACTGCAAAACTTGACGCAGAAATTCTCATATACAACAGTAGGTGCATGGTGTTAAATGGCTGGGTATTGATGAAGCATGCTAACCACAGTACCAGGAATAATGGTACTTGTAAACTTAAAAGATGTGATAACGACACTGTGAGAGGAAATGCTAAAGCCACACTTGATGTTTTGCACTCGATATCGAAGAACAGACTATGTAGCAGTTTCATGACTGAGAAAAGAAACGGAGATCGGATTCCTAAGGCAATGAAGACTATACTTCCAGTAATGACGAAACCTACACATACCATAGTGAATCACGAACGAATACTGTTGTCGCTATTGACTGCTTTTTTTACAGATACACAGATACACATGAATCATTGTACAATGCTGCGAAGACTAAAGGTTTTGACAGGTAGAATGACACTATATGACACTACTTTGGGCTCATTCCATATATGGCGGTATGAACCAATGAACACAGTAATTCATGCAAGAGACTGCAGAACCCACCACGGCAATGACGTTGTTGCGTGTGTGAAAACCACAACGACAGCCAATTGAACATAGCCACGTTCCACCTTGATACGAAATCCGCGCGCATGGCCATGGGGATGCTACAGTATGACCGCCCATGGCGTGCAAAGCTTTTTGTCTTAGTGACCTTCAGTAGGCCTGCTTCGCCATACCCCGCAGGTTTGTCACACTCGCTCACTACTAGTACTATATGTCGGCTTATCGCGACCATGCGCGTGCACTCGCAGACTTTTCTGTCCGACTTCTTTCGTGCTTGCCCATGATAGTCAGGCAAACACATAGGTTGCTTTCGGCACAGACTTTTGACACGACATCAACAATTCAAGGTGGACTTGTGTTTGCGATTTGCCCCACCACTCGGCCCACTAAAGCAAGCCCATCAGCATACAGACGAAACCCTGGGTAGGGGGTAGCATATATACATACATATATATATATATTTATTTATATTCGCATGGCATGGTATGCTATGTTGTGCTATGTTACCTTAGCTGGTGATATACGTCTCACGATGTTCGGTATTTATGTACGTAGGTGTATATGTATATGTGTGTGTCAAGGTATACACAAAGATAGGTGTGTATTCAGATATACATACATAGATACGTACTATTTATACGTATATAAACACTCTTCTGTGCCAGGCCGAAGGGCCTTCAGCCGCAGCCGTCGCCGCGGCCACGGCGGTGGCCAAAGGCGGCAAGGCAAGGATCTGGGAGCTGTTCGTGACTTTCTGTGGTTTTTGGGCTTAGGTTCAGGGCCTTGTGGCGTTTAGGCGCGAACGTTTTACGGTTGTTTTGTGTCGTGTTCGAATGTGGTTTGTGTGTCTTCTTAAGATGCGGTCTTGTGTGTTGATTGAGGGGAGGTGTTCGTGTTTGGGGTCCTCTTAGAACGTAAGGATGCTTGGTGATTGGGATCCAGTGGGGGTCGTGACTGCCATGCATTCCCGCGAGTTTTGCATGTGCAGACATATATATGTATATATGTATATATATATATAGATAAGCATACGTACATAAATGTATGTAGATATTATTTTGAGTGTGGTGTATGCATACAGCTACATTGACATGCAAAGACAGAAAGAGAGAAACAGGGAGAGGTGTTGGTTTGTGCTTTTCCGTCAGAAGCATTTTGTGTCATTGTTTATGTGTCTATTCGCTTCTATGCATGTATGTATGTATGTACGTAAGGAAGTAGTCAAGCAAGTAAGTACGTTTGCATGTAGGTGTGTATGCAATGTAAGCGTAAACGTAAGTGACAAATGAAGTAAATATGATGTAATGCCTGTTTGTACGCCCGTATTTTTGCATGTGCTAAAATCGCTTGTATGTCTGTTTTTACTTTCACAGAAAAGGACACTGTGGAGGCCTGCGTTTTGTGGGTGTAACCAAAATAGACGTTCCATATAACATGTATGGTCTCAAGCACTGACATACACACATACATACATACATCCACACAATTAATTGCATTTGCATGTCGACAGGCACCCATCCATCTATCCATCCATCCATCCATGATATATATATATATATATATACACATACACACATACACACACACAAACGCACACACAGAGACACACACACAGGTACACATCCATGCATGCATGCATGCATGCATGCAGGTGGGCATGCATACAAACAGTACAAAACTAAGTATGCGTACGTTCATACACACATATAGACATGTTAAAGTGGGAGCTTCGGTCAAATGTCATCTCCTCTAAGAAACGTGGACTGGGGCTTATGAAGTTTTCTCATGCCCCAGTAACACGGTTTAGTTTACGGGTAAAGGTTTGCCATCCGTTATACTTTGAAACTTTTGGGGGTTGCCATCCATAATTCGTTCTCATTCGGGATCCACTCACTCCTTTCAGGGTTTATAAATAAGATTGGGCACCTACTCGGTCCTTTTACCACCCATCATCTCTGACGAAATTGGAGTTTCTTGGGAGCCAGTGGTTTGCTGCCCATGATAGGGTGTGGGCTTGCCACACAACTTACCCGACAATCCCATCGGGTTCTGGAGGCGCAGGGTTTGGTGTTTAGTGTTGGTTTTCTGGGCACCTATCCCCTTACTAGTGGTTTTCTGAGTTCGGTTGTGTGTTTATTGGACCAGGTCATCCTCTCGAAAGTTAAGAGCGCCACCCATCTTCTCGTTATGAAACTAGCGGCATGTTAGAAAAAGTGCAACGGGTCCGCACAACGGGTCCGCACCAGTCACTGCTGCTTCTTGGGCCTTTCATGGCATCGCTGTTGCCAAGCGAGCCAGCCTATCTATGCGTCTGAACCATACCCTATTGAAGGTTACGGGGTCTGGGAACCCAGCCATGCCTCTTGGTGTCTCATTTACGAACCACATCATTCCGTTTGCGGTCTCGCATCCTCGTCACTCACACCTATGGACTAAGAGCACATCATGATCGATTTAGGTTTCGTTTTGTTGGGAACCATTTACTGGCATCGTTCGGCGTGTCGGGTCTGCGAAAAAGCTATTACTGCTCACACTTGTTGTGTCACCTACAGTATGGGGTCTCGGGTGCATGCCGCCACTTGCCCCAATGAGCCCGTCATTCCCTATTGAGTTTTAGTTGTTGGGGGGGAGGGGGGGAGTGTCACTGGCTTCGGGTGTTCGAACAAACAAGGTGCTTTTCATGACTGGCTTCGTCACCCACACATCATCTTCTAGCATTGGAGTTCGGATTTCTTCGGAAAGCAGCAATCCTTTGGCTTATCTTGATTATCTTTATACCCTTACCATACGAAAGAGGAGCACCTATACTCGAACAGTGTCGGCACATATTCCGGCGTACTCCTCATACTTTCTCTTTCGCCCTCTGTAGATACATCTGAGTATGTATTCTTTGTGTTTATGTACGAGGAGGAGAGTCCCCAAGAAAAACAAGGTTTGCCCCCCCCCCCCCGCCCCTGCCGGGGATTGGCCGAAGACCCGGGCTCTCAGCCTGGAGGATGCATCCTTAAATGAAGCTCCAACTAAATCCACTATGCAACGGCAGGGGCAGAGAGAGAGAATCGTGTTTGACCATACATGTTATATGGAGCACGGTGCTATGGCTTATCGTATAAACCATACAGTGTGAGAACGGGCCTTCAGCGGGTCCGGTTCTGTAGTTAAATACATGCATATGCATAAAAGCTTATACACGTATGTATATGCAGATGTGCAGAATGCATACACAAACCAATGCAGTAGCCCAGAGGCAATCAGCAATGAATGGAGCCATGCCTATCAGGGCCTGTCAGAATGCGCTTCATTTCATAACCCTCAACACTCCGAGACCTTGTGTTTGCCAGCACACCTCGATTGAGCATTGTGTAGCTGTAAAACCTGGCGATTGTCGGCCCTCTAGTCGAGCACCGGACATTGGACGATCCTGCACCTAAAACCATCAACCTGTTCGTGCAGGCCCCAGGCGCACCGCTGGCCAACGATGACCAAAGTGACACGACACTCCCAGACGAGGCTGGTTGTGGGGGTGGGGGCGTGTTTTCAGGGTTCGGGGTCTCGGGTTGGAGTCAGGGTCGATAGCCCTTGGACCAAGCCTCAGACTATGCGCCGGACGCTTGCAAGAGCCTATCTTATACCTGTTCATAGGTAGTTTATCAGGAACTTGTCGTTTCATGTTGCCATGCATCGCTGTAGAGTTTACGTATATGAATGCAACCCGACGATATCTTTCTTAAGTCCAGAGAGTATTTGTTTCGTTTTGGGTCATGGAAAAAGACGCACAAACTCAATACCTGCCAGGACGACGAGGCCTTCGTAAGGTCCATTGAGCAATGCCTGAAAGAGTGCGATGTCATGTGGGATGACTACTGACAGAGAGTGGTCTAGCTCGTAGGTCTCGTGGGCCCCTAGATCAGGCTTGTTCAGGACGCTGGAATGTGGGATTGCGCGATAGTTGTTTGCGTACGTGTGCGGCGGAGATCTGGTGGGTCTCGCAGCCATCAGTATCTATGCTACTTGGCTGATGTTGCTAGTCGCTGCTAGTCTCGTTGGTTCGAAGAGGCCGGGCCCACTCTTCCAGCACTGTCCTTAGCATCTTCCTCTCGCTCCCAACGGGCGTTCCAGAAATTAGGTGAATAGGGGATTTTTGAGAAACAAAACGGTACACGTAGTGGTACACATAGGTACGCCTCGTTGTCAGAAACCCGTCCTGACAGCCAGCAAAGCCCGGCAGAAGTTGCAGCTACAGTCAGCTTACAGTTTAGCGAGCCGAAGCCGAATTGGGATTGCGGCCGCCTGTAACTTCGGTATCCAGATAGGGCTGTAGATGGCTTTAGGCTTTTATAGTCCTACAGCATTTTTACGCCCAGAACGTAAACACATGCGGCATCCGAAGTTCCGTGGGTTAACCAGTCCATCTGCAAGAAGCAGACTGACATGGGCTGTAGCTGCAACTTCATGATGTTTCCAAGGCCCTCCGCCCGGCGTTGATGCAAAAGGCATGTTGACATTTCTTGCTAGTCTGCTGCAGGCATAGTGTCATGGTTGTGTAAGACTTATTGTTCCTTACACCCGGTACTTGTCGAAGGGGTGCGGTCTAATTATGTAGCTGCATGCAGCGATCAGATGGGAAGATAAGACTAATACGAGTTGGCAAGGCACTTTCACTAAGTGTGTGAGCAATAGGGACTGATGTTTATTTTCAATACCTGGCTTGCAGAGCCTGTTTGCAGAACCTGAAGCCAGTGACTGTCGATCAGCACGCTACAGCACTATGATGGCAATGTCTTCGCACCCAATCCTGGCAGTCGTCTTTGTAGCATCCCAACGAGTCAATGTAGGTGGTTTGCATCCCGCAACAGGTCTCGGGGCCCATGCAGTCTTCTTGCGGCAACTGCCCAGGCACGATGAGCCTGCTTTGGCTTTGCTTTCGATGGCAGCTTCAACCGTACCGTGTCTTGGCGATCGGTAGCCTAACTCCTCGGCCCCGACACTACTCCCCTCCAACAGTCACCCCGGTCCCATAGTAGTTTGAGTAATCAGATGTAATCAGTAGTTGAGGAGTTTCCGTCCTCTGTGACTAGCTATCCGACGAGACCATAGACCTCACTGCCGCAAGATCTGCTATAATTTTGCCAAGCTTCGTAAAGCTCCGGGATACTGTGCCACGTTTAACCTCGCACGACCGATGACCAAGTTTGAAGTTTTGAGTGTCCCAAAGTTCTGACTGCCAATTTGTACATGTTGTACATGTTCTGCGGTGCCCTGGCTCCCTGACCTTGCAGGACGACAATGGTGGCTTCCAGCTCGTTGGCAACGCTTTTCCAATCGACCCGGTGCCGCATAACATTGCACTCCAGACATGTATTTGTTGAATGTATTTTGAGCGCGCTTTTTTTGTGTGAACTCGAAGTTTGATAAGATGCTGTGCGTCTTAGCTTGAATGCTGTCAGGCATACCTGAAGAAAGTGCTGACCTCAAGCCGAATTTCGCTCGTGCTGTCTGAGCTGATTACAGTAGGGCGATGACAAAGATTGAAGTTTTGAGTGTCCATGTTTGCACCTCTTGCAAGCCCCTGAAATCAGGCAATCAAAGCGGAAGAGGAAATGTCCATCGCAGCAAGCAAGATTGACGCATACAGCCAGAAGGAGAGCTTTTCAGATCAATCCCGCTCTCCCACCTCGGCCTCCCTGTGCGGCGTCTCAGCTTGACTTTGCAGGACAGGAACTGGGTGAAGGAAGACGAAGACATCGAAGTCAGTCGCTGCACATCCAAGCCCAGCACTTGGTTTCGATGACTTTTCAGCTTAGGGGTTTTGCCGTCGCCTAGCTCGCAGGTCAGATTGCTACGGGTTCATGCTGCCACACAAAGACGGACGATGTATAGGTTGCATGCGTGTGCCTCAGCAACGCCGGAGTTTGAGCGCTTCGAACTTGCATCCTTCGTCGTTGTGTGAGCTTCTCAGCTGAGGTAGCAGCACTGACGTGTTTTGAGCTGCGGGCTTTGCTTGACTTGGCTACGGCGTTCAAGTTTTCAAGTCAAGCGGGGCATGCGACGGGTACAGGACCAGCGACAGATGCCAGTGCTGGTCAAAAGCAGTTTCAAAGAGAGTGGAGCATGTCTTCTTTGTTCGTCTGGCTGCACGGCATGGACGGACTTGGTGACTAGCCTCTTTCGTGCAGGACAACCTGCAGACCACGCCCCAGCAGACCAGACGGCTCTGGCTTTTCGTCCGTAGCAAGGCGAATAGGGGTGAATGTGGCGCTGCCTGCTTTCCTCCATTCACGGGTTGCACGGAAAGTAGCTGTAGATGCTGCCGCTCCTTGGGTCTGGCTGAGCGTCACCTCGCAGCGGCTTGGTTGACAGTTCTGCTTTGTAGCTTGGCGGAAGGGCATATGCACACGCGGAGGGGGTTCCAAAGTTTAACAAGATGTTCAAGCCGATGCTTACGTTAATTGTGCTTCATAGGAGATCGACTGGTTATCTCGTCAGGGTGGATTGCTGGCGGCACTTGGTCGTGCCGTCGTCTACAGGACATCCAGGCCAGAGTGGGGTCTTCCCTCGGTCCGCTTCCTCTTTGTTCAGGCTGCTGACCATGCTTGATTGGATTAGGACTGTTTGTCGGTTTGAGGTTGAGGCAACATCACGGCCCGCCGTGGCACGCCAGCCTAGAGCTTTGCATCGCGACGCAGGGCGGAAGGACGTGAACCTACGTCCCCGTCCTAAGTCCACGTCAGTTAAGCACAGTGGATTCGTCACGGCAGCTGAAGAAGGGACACCGTCGAACTCCGCCTAGTCCTCAAAACTTCAAGACGTTTCGGCCCGAGTCTTGTCGAGGCTCCAGCCTCGTAGCATTTTGCGCCACCAGTTTGCTTCGAGATGAAGCTGGGAACCTTCCTGTGGTTGCCATACTGCCTTAAGGCGTTCAAGTATGCCAACGACCCTGCAACGACAGCCCTAGTCAATGCTCATGCGGATGCTCTGAAGGAGCTGGCACTTGCATTCCCACTGGTGCTCCAAAACTTGACGAACTGCACCGGTATCATTCGCAACGGAAATGAGATGCTGGACAGGAGTGTGATCACTTACCATCCCGGCAAGTTTCAGCTGGATGAGGAGTTTGTGGTTGACAAGACTGCCGGCTACTATGCGGTCCTGCACGATTTCCTTGCCTATGAGTTTGGTGAAGGGCAAGCTATGCAGTTCTGTGCACCGGGGCTTGTCCCCAACATTATGCCATGCCTCCGGGTGGGGGCGTGTCTCCTTCAAGCCGCAGTCCCCGAGCATGTTGACATCGAGCTTTATGCTGGCATGCTAGAGCAGCTCACGCGCTTCGAAGAGATCATGTGGCCCATTTTGCGGGATTCCTTGGTCCACGAGGAGGGTGGGAATGTTCTGGCTGACGACATTTCGTTGCCAGACTCACTCAGTTGTGACGACTCTGCGCACGACTCATCCCTCCTTCAGCTGACAGCAACAGCTGACGCGCAGCATGCCGAAGCCATGGCGACCGCAGCAGCCTTGCACAAGGCCACTGTCGACAGCCATCGAGTCCTGGATGCGCACGGGTTGAACAGTTCCATGGATGCCACCATTAACAAACTACAGCAGTCATAGTTCAGTGCCTGCCAGAAGCTGGGTTGCGACCACACTAACTACTGGGACATCTTCTTCCGTCACCATCGTCACTCGCTTGATTTGATTGACTTTGGCCATGTGCCCCTGCTCCATTCTGACATCAAAATGCGTTTCCTTCTTCAGCACCGCATCCAGAAGTTCATCGCTGACAACCATCGCGATTTCAGCTTCATCCAGAAGTTCGCCCGCATGAACCAAGAACAACCAAGCTCGTGGGATGTAGCTCAGGTTTATCATCGCAGAAACAAGCAGGCACTGAAGGACTTTGCCGTGCCGTTTCTCGAGACGCTTCCAGAGTGGAAGTTGGTGCGTTTGGTGGACAGGCACGTCGTTGCTGCAGCCATGGAGGCCGAAGATGAGCCCACAGCCGAAATGGGGCACAGGAACGAGACTGGGATGTCAGCTCTCCAAATGGATGAAGTTGAAGCTTCCTCACAGTCCTGGGGCCGCCGCCGACGGCGACGCCGCTTCTGGAAGGCTGTGGTGGCCGTCGTGAAAAAAATCGCGAAAGCCATCGGGTCACTGTTGGCCTGCATCGGGGACTTCGGCAAGTTTGCTGCCACAGGCTACACCAGAGCTTTCAGCACTAGCACCGCCGGATCCGTAGGCCTGAGCGCCGGCAACACGAACTTTCTGAAAGACCTTCTACAAGGAAAAAAGCCTTCCGGCTGGATCTCGCTGGATATGGGCTTCTCGGTCGGATCCACCAGTGAAGTTTGGTGGGCTGGTTCAGGGTTCAGTGGTTCCCTGGTGTGTGACACCAACGGTGATTGCTCCATCTACCTGGCAGTTTCATTGCTAGCAACGGGCAATGCAAAGACTCCATGGAGTAATTTGTGCCCTTTGGGGGCCTCGTGGATGGGCATGGACTGCTCGCACTGCGCCGGTGCTTCGGTTACCATACTCTGTTGCAACTTTGATCTGACCAATGGGCACAACACTTGCCGGTAGGCGGCATGAGGAGCTCGGCTCGGCGCATTCCCGTTCCACTGTACAGAAAAAGCTCGTCATGTCACGCTTTGCCCTGTGTCGTTCTGCAGCCAACACCCTCTCGGATTTGTTCCTGTTTATCCCGGCGCAGGTAGCGGAAGTATGACCTTCAGGAGCAGTGACTCTGTTGACCTGGATGCACTTGGAATGTGGCACGAAGCAAGGGATGCAGAGCGGGAGAGAGAGAGAGAGAGCTGTCCCATTTCCTGACTGGCCAAGAATGTGCGGAGGGGTCGCAGGGTCTGTAGTGACATCGACGTGGTTATCTTATTTGCTGCTGGCTGCACACTGTCATGTGTTTAGCTGTTGGGGAAAGGCCCTTTAGGGCTTGGGTTTCAAGGTTCATCTTCTGGGAGCAGCACTGGAAAGGCCCTTTGGGGTTTCCGTCTTAGCGTGTTTAGCTTTTGGGCAAAAGCCCTTTAGGGCTTGGGTTTCAGGGTTCATCTTTCTGGGAGCCTGGAAAGGCCCTTTGGGGTTTCCGTGTTAGGGTGTTTAGCTTTTGAGGAAACGCCCTTTAGGGCTTGGGTTTCAGGGTTCATCTTCTGGGAGCAGCACTGGAAAGGCCCTTTGGGGTTTCCGTGTTAGGGTGTTTAGCTTTTGAGGAAAGGCCCTTTAGGGCTTGGGTTTCAGGGTTCATCTTCTGGGAGCAGCACGTGAAAACGCCCTTTAGGGCTTGGGTTTCAGGGTTCATCTTCTGGGAGCAGCACTGGAAAGGCCCTTTGGGGCTTGGGTCTTAGGGTGTT